AGCAACAAGTTGGGGGTTACTCAGGTTCTGAAGAGTGAAGGGGAAAGCTGTTATGCAGTGAGGACCAGGAACGTTGATGGCCTCTCCAGACGTGGCCTCTGGTGCGTAGGCCCTGCTTGTGCCAATGGTTCGGTCACTCTTGACAATGGGATAATCACCTTTGTACCTGCATTTCTTTGTATTCTATAATCCGTAGAGGTCATTTAATTTTCACTACACACTTTCACATGTCCTACCTCATTTCTTCAGGGCATGTTACATTCCTTCACATTTCAGGAGACAAAGGCACCAAGTTAAAGTTCAGCATCTTCAGAACTCCATGTGAGCTGGTCCCTGAGGCTCCCCTTGAATTACTGATGGCATTTTCTCTGAGCAGTGACCTGCTGGGAAAGTCCAGCTGGGCCAGATGGAACAGTCTTTTTGAGTTATTGACTCTTGTCTTTTGACTGATAGAGACTTTTAGTAAAGTCTTCCCTAGGGGTAATGCTGAATTAACTGTAGATTTCAGGAATGTGAAATCTACGCTTTCTGTCTCAAAGAACAGATCTCATAGCTTTGTAGTCTGATTTTTGGACACTTTATCAGACTTCCATACATTTTCAAAAAGAATTGTTAGTGATCCTCATGGAACTCAGGTTCTGCAGATACACACCTTGCTTGCAGGAGGTGAAGAAGACTTGAAGTTCTTACTGCAGAAGAGCAAAGACTAATCACTATGGCCTTCACTATGGATCCCAATATCAAGAAAGCAAAAGTTCTCACCTCTGGACTGATAGGCACAATCATGCTAAATGGAGAAAAGAACTGGACTTGCCAAGGATTTAATTTTGGATCCACAGTCAACACCCATGGTAGCAGCAGTCAAGAAACAGACTTGTTTCATTGGGCAAGTATGCTATCAAGGATCTGTCCAAAGTACTAGAGAGCAAGGATGATAGTTTAAAGACTAAGGTGCACCTAATCCAAGCAATGATATTTTCACTTGCTTCTGAAAGTTGCACAATGAATAAAGAAGACTGAAGACAAAGTGATATCTTTGAAGTGTAGTGTTGGCAAAGAGTCTTGACTATTAAAAGAACAAACAAATCTGTCTTGAAGGAAGTACAACCAGACTGCTCCTTAGTGACCAGGAGGGCGAAACTTCATCTCATTGACTGTGGTCCTATTTCCAGGAGAAGCCAGTCCTTGGGGAGAAACATCATTCAGGCAAAGGTAGAGGGTCAGAGGTAGAGAGGAAGACCATGAATGAGATGGACTGACCCAGTGACTCCGTGGGCTTGGGTGGGCTCCATGACAGAGATCATGAAGATGATGAAGAGTACGGCTAGGGTAGGCAGTGTTGTTCGTAGGGTCCATGTGAGTTATAATCAGCTTGACGACACAGAAAAATAACTGATGCAACAAGGCAAGTTATCACTGGAGCATTGCCAATTTCATGGAAGAATCCTTAACTAGATTCCCACCTGCTTTTAGGATGACCTCTTGACTTTCTGCAGCACTGGTGTCACAATGGTTAAATCAATGACCTGTTGTTGTTGTTATGTGCCATCAAGTCACTTGTGACTCATAGCAACCCTATGTACAAGAGCTCTAAACACTCTTCTATCCTGTGCCAACCTCGCCTTCTCAAACACACTCATTCCCACCACTCCAGTCACAGATCGATCCTTCTCAGCAAGGGTCTTCCTCTCCTCCTCCTCTTCCTCCACTCTGCCAAACATGATGTCCCTCTCTGAGGACCAGTCCCTCCTTGCAACATGCCCAAATTATGTCAGACAAAGCTTCAGAATCCTTGACTCCAAGGAGCATTCTGACTTCACCTTCTCCAGGACAAACCTGTTTGTTCTCCTAGCAGTCCATGGTATATTCCACACTCTTCTCCAGCACCACAGCTCAAAGGCATCAATTCTCTTTCTATCATCCCTATTCACTGTCCAACTCTCTGATGCATAGCACGTAATGGCAAAGACTATAGCCTGTATCAGGTGCACCTTAGTCTCCAGCCTGACGTCGTTGCTCTTCAGTACTCTTGAATCAGTGACCTACTAACCAATAATTTAAAAGTTCAAACCCACTAATGGGGCAGTTTTACTCTGGTCTGTCGGGGCAATATGAGCTGGAATTGACTTAGTAGCTGTGGTTTTCGGTGAGTTTTTCTGCTTTTCCATCGTAATGCCATATACACAGAGAACAAAATCATAGGAACCTTCAAAGTCTGTGGCAAAAATAAGGATAGTGCTAATAAAATTTATCTTTTATATTATTTAAGGGTCTCCTGACCCTTTTAAATAGGGTTCCTGTTTTCTTTTGTTACTTGATCCTTTTTGATACTATTTCCCCTATATGGACATGAACTGAAGGGGGCATGCAGATTCAGTTTCAGTCTTTGCCCTCCCTCCAGTTATAAAATATGACTAATAATATTGACTTGGTGTAATTGAATTGAGAGACTAAATGCTCTTATGTCAAAGTGCTTTGGCATGAACTTTGTGGCCTAGCGGTAAGGATTTGTGCTTGCAACCCAAAGGTATGCAGTTCAAATCTGCCATCTGCTCGGTGAAAAAAGATATGCATTCTCCTCCCATGCGATTGACTGCCCTGGAAAACCTGCTGGGTGGTCAGCTAGGGGTCAGTTCTGACTCTATAGTACACAATAATAATAACAACAACAACAATAACATCAACATACTTAGGTAAATAGGTAAATTAAAATGTTAAGTGCAAATGTTGATATTTATGTCCAGAATTACAAAATACTCTGTCTTGATGTTTTAACCCACCTGATACGACCCTACGAATTTTGGGTTGTAAAAGTGGAGGGAGGTTCCTCCTCTCCGCTACATATTTCTTTCCGCCCTTCTCACTTGGCTCTTGGCTTTCTACCAGTGCCCACCATTATGATTCCCAAAGCTAGTACTGGATATAATAAAGAAATATATTTTCATTTTAGTTACAGTTGTTTGTTAGTTTACAAATATGTATTTATTGTTCCCTACTATTACTACTTTAAAAAAATGTATTCATTAATTCTTGAGCCACTTGTCACCAATGGATCAAAGGCTTTTGTAGGAAAATTTTCTCCTTCACTGCTTCATCCTTTTGTTGCTGGGGACGTGGCAGAGGGCTATGAAAGCGCTTCTAATTCACGCAGATCTTCTCTCCCTTTGAGAAGTGGATTTCATCGCATTCTATGCTTGGTTTTCCTTAGCAACCAGCCAGAAGTTCCATGATACAGATACGAATGCTTCTAACTACACAGGAATAAAATCAAATGTTGTTTAGACAGATTTTATATTTTATATAAAGAGTGGAAGGGGCTTTACAGTGTGAGGAGAGGAAATTTGATACTTGAGGTGCTTCAGAAACCAGGTGGTAGTTACAAGCTCTAGATTATTTGATTTTTTTTTTAGTATTCATTAGTTTGCACTAACTGCTTATTGCCTGAGGAATGAAAAATTATTACCTTCCTTTTTTTTAATGACCAAAAATGCACTCAACTGTATGGTCCTTTGCGTGTCCCATAGCCCTAGGCTGATCATTTCTACCTCTGGGAAAGAGTCCACTTAACTGGTGATAGTTGAGTACTATGGTTTGGTCCAGACTTTTGTCATTACAAGACTTTCAATTCAAACAAATTCATTTAAGAGTACTGGGGAACTGACAATAAGGATGTATGGAGAAGACCCCTGCATAGCCAGGAAGAATGCAGATCAGAGTCCCCTCGCCATCTGGGTGTTTGTGAAGGGTCAGTAACTCGGGCTCCTCGCTGCTTCAGTTGTACAGTGGCTGGGTTGAGCCATGCTGTCTCCTCAGCCTTTAGGGAAGCTCCTTCCTCCTTCTCTCACCCGAGTGTTCCATGGGACTCCGCCTCTATGTCCACTTCCACCAGACTTCCCTGACCCTCCAGCCATAGTTATGCCCCTTTGCTGTGTTTTCATACCATTCTGTGCGTTTATCAAGCTTATGGTGTTGCTTGCTATTTCACAATCCGACTATGGGCTTCTGAATACAGGAACTGTGTCTGAGTCAGTATTTCTTTCTCTGCCATGGTCACACTTATAAACAGGGCAAAGTATTTGTCAAATGCATGAACAAGCATCTCCATCCACTCCGGGAACATGACTTTGCTTCCTTGTCTGAGCGCAGAGTAGAATCCAGTGCTTTCCCCCGATGCCCTAAAGTTCCCATCCCTTCTTTCGAAAGCCAGGCAGGCTGGGATGCCTTCCACAAACATCTTCAGCAGAGAAAAGTGAATATGCACACAAAAAGTACATGCAATGCGTCACTTCGGCAAGAAATGATGATTGTAAGCTTGGCGTAATATCTATCTATGAATGACAATGAATAAAATATATTTATAGTAGTAATAAAAGAACTTTAGTAACAACCAGGTTGTAGTTAATCTAAATGTCGTGGCAAGAATTGAGAAGTTGGGCAATACACATTCCTTTAGTATTTTATCTTCACCCTTTAAAGAAATGGATCTAGTTCGTTTGAAGGGAGCCCTAGTGGCATAGACACAGGGAGGTGGGCTGCTCACCCGAGACCGAGCCTCCGTGGTGGTTAGATTCCCCCAGTGGCTCCACAGGAGAGAGAGGGTCAGTCTTCTTCCCAGTGACTCCCAGCCTGAGGAACCGCCTGGAGAGTCAGCTATGAGACAGTCCCAACTCGACGCCAACGAGAGCCAGTGTGACCGCCTTTCAGTGTCTACCCTGTTGCTCCTCAGAACTCAGCCTAGATGGTAGAGTGTTAGAGTTGCCCACCAGCCCTTTCGCTTCTGCCTTCACACACACACACACACACACACACACACACACACACCCCTACAACTGCACCCACAGCAGCAGTGGTGGGCAGTATGTTATGCTGAGCCATTTTAATGATATTTTGCCATGAAGTGCTGTCATCAGAAACAAGTGATTTCATTAGAAAGAAAAAGAAAGAATTGTCCCGACCGCTGTCCTCATGCACTCTTCTCTCTGCCTCTCTTTGTCTTGCAGTGAGCATGTTTTTGAACACATTAACGCCGAAGTTCTACGTGGCCCTGACGGGCACATCCTCACTCATATCAGGCCTTATTCTGGTAAGTACTGTCATTCTTATTGAACAACATGTGGTTTACCATGGTAGACTTTAGTGTCAACAGGAGAATGATCTGGAAACTACAGCGCCATATCTTACAGTGATGCTGTGGGGGCTTGGAGGGGACTTAGAGGCCTTTTACAATCAGGTTATATATTTCTGAAATACTTGGAAAAAATATGTAATCATATGTCATGTTTTCTGAAGGGAAAAATAACATAAATAAAATGGAAAATAGAGGAAGACACAACCCTGTGTCAGTTTTAGTGTTTAAGGACTAAATACTCAAAGAGTATGACCTATTAGAACAAAATTTGTTTCATCAGTCTTATGAAAATTGAAGGTGCCCTGTTATTAAGTGTTGGGTTGTAAAATAAATGTGGTGGTGGTGGTTGTTGTTAAATACTGTCAAGTTGTAGGCGACTCATAGCAACCCTATGAACAAAGGACCAGAACACGTGTATAACTTTCTTCGTTTCTCCAAGTTCATAGAGTTTCCAGAGTCAAGCTGTTTCGGAACTGGATGCCACTCCTGCTTCCAAGCTTGTTTTAGTCAGAGAGCTCCACTTAACACTGTCCACCATGGGTAGCCATTCTTGCATTTTACATATCAGTGTCACAGTGTTCAGCTCCATAGTAACCACAAGTTACCTCTGTACAGTAAATCGACAGCCAGGGCTATATTATCTAGAAGAATGTTTGACTAAAAACAATTAAAACCAGGCCTGAGGGACGCAGATTAAAATCACCCACCTATGGCTTGCTAGCATTACTTTCTGTCCATTAGGCCAACTGAGCTTTCTCATCGTTGTTGAATGTCGTTGAGTTGTAGGAGACTCATAGTGACCCTATGAATGAAGGACCCGAACACTTTCTTCATTTCTCCAAGTTCATAAATACAATAAAGGTGGACAATGCAAACCCACCATTTTCTCAGCAGGAGAAAGAAGAACAGTCTTTTCCCCACACAGATTTGCAGCCTTGGAAGCCTGCTGTCGAGTCAGACCTGTCTCAGCTCCAGTGGTCTGGCTTGTGATTCTGTTTTGTTTTAGTAAAAATTGTTTATCACTGGAGCATAACCAAGGACAATAGGCACCTGGATCAGTTTCTCTAAATATGTTGACCTTGACTGTGGCAGTGCTAAGCTTTCCTCCTTCATGTCTTCTACTTCCTGCATTTGTATGTTTTTCCTTACTGTTCCCTTCTTGGGGGGCAGAGTATACCAAATAAGCAAAATGACTTAAATAAGTTAAATAATAACTTAAATCAGTTAAATGACTTATTTTCATGACATTATTTATATTGCTGTTGTTGTTATTGTATCATCGAGTCAGAATCAACTCGTGGTTGACCTGCCAGTGGCTTTTCAGAGGCTTTGAATGACACTGGAGGAGACTGCCCATATTTCTTCTGTGGAGCAGCTGGTAGCACAACTTCTTATAACTAGGCCACCAGCATGCTCTCTGTAATCTACACATTATCATAAATAATTTCAGTAGCAGTTTACTTTTAACATTTGGAGCTGTTTTTTTGTACTTTATTGTTGCATAACGTGATGTTAATTACAACTCTTATTGACCCCCCTAAAAAAAAGACACCCCACTGCTGTCAGGTTGATTTGGATAGTGATCCTGGTGGGAAAACTAGAACCATCCCATGGGGTTCCCACGTCTGTGAACCCTCACAGAAGCAGTGGACTGGCTGGCTGCTTTAACCACCATGCCACTTGACTTCAAATAGGGGCTGTCTGAACTCACTGGAAACACTCTCCCTTCCATAATTAGTAAAGTTATTTTTATGGAGAGAAGAGTTTTAGAAGACTCCCACTCCCCCCATATACTCACCTCCATTCCTGTGTTAGAGAAACAGTGAAAAGGGAGCACTGGCAAGAGTTCATATTTGAAGATGGAAGATCAGTAGAAAATCTGAAAATTTTTGGAGGAGAAAGTCGTAAAAACATGGAGCAAAGACCATAGATGGACTTAGATGAATGGAGGAATTCAGAAGCGTGAGCGTGGAAGGAGTGGACGGGTAAGGAAAGAGCAAAGGGTTGCTAGCTGGTGGCTGTGAAGAAGCATCGTTTCATTGATCAGAGGATGAATTTTGAGATGAATCCTCTTCTCCTGTATCATTGAGGGCTGCTGTGGTAGCCTAGTCGTAAGGAGCTGTACTGCCAACCCGAAGGCACACAGTTTGAATCCACCACCTGTTCTGCAGGAGAAAGATGAGCAGCCTCTTCCTGTGTGATTGACTGCTGCCTCTCAAAACCCACTGGAGAGTCATCTATGAGTTGGCTCTGATGCTACAGCACACAACAGATGTATTATTGAGGACTTGCTGTGGGCTGCTGAACTCAAGGGACGGGATTTTTTTTTAAGGTAGCTATGTGAAGAACCCATGGTTACCCATGGTGGACAGTGTTTGGGGGAGTCCACCAATTAAAACAAGCTTGGAAGCAGGAGTGGCATCCACTTCCGAAATGGCTTGCCTTTGGAAACTCTATGAACCTGGAGAAAGGATGAAAGTTACACCAGTGTCCAGGTCTTTCATTCATAGGGTCACTATGAGTTGCCTATGACTCAACGGCACTTAACAACAACAACAACAACGACAGCAACAACAACAACAGCATAGAGAGAGATCACTTGGCCTAGTGGACAGAAAGTGATGCTACCAAGCTGAAGGTGCGTGACTCTAATCCATGGCCTTCAGTCGTAATTGTTTTTGCTCAAATGTTCTTCTAGGTCATATAACCCAGGTAACTTGAGATTTCTGTGAAGCTGAACACTGTGACACTGATGTGTCAAATGCGATAATGATTACCCATGGCCAACAGTGTTTGGTGGAGCTCCCCGATTAAAACAAGCTTGGGAGCAGGAGTGCCATCCACTTCTGAAAGAGCTTGCCTCCAGAAACCCTATGAACCTGGAGCAAGGCTGAAAGTTATACAAGTGCTCAGGTCTTTTGTTCATAGGTTTGCTATGAATCGCCCGTGACTCGATGGCACTTAACAACAGCGTGTGAAGAACAGCAGCAGACACTAAGATGGTCATTTAAGGGGCCATCACAACAGAATGCCCAGTGCTAAGTGCCAAGGTCAAACCCAGAGAGGGGTAGCACATTTAAAGTTCCAGGGTTTCAGACATGGGATTTACTATCTGTTCTTGTTTGTCCTTCAGTAATATGTAAGCGTGTCCTCGCTTTGAAATTCTTCACCAAATCACCTTGACTTGCTGCACCTGCAGCTTTTAAAGCCCTGAAAAGTTTTGTGCCTCTTATTGTACTATTGTTGTTGTTGTTATGTGCCATCGAGTCGTTTCCGACTCATAGCAACCCTATGCACAACAGCTCTAAACCCTGCTCTATCCTGCGCCAACCGCACCGCCTCTGACACACCCATCCCGATTACCCCAGTCACCGAATCAATCCATCTCATAGAGGGTCTTCCCCTCCTGCGCTGTCCCTCCACCCTCCCAAGCATGATGTCCCTCTCCAAGGACCCGTCCCTCCTGGCAACATGTCCAAAGTATGTCAGACGAAGCCCCAGAATCCTTGCCTCCAAGGAGCAGCTTGGTTTAATCCTCTCCAAGATGGATCTCTTTGTTTTCCTGGCAGTCCAGGGTACATTCAGTACCCTTCTCCAGCACCACAGCTCAAAAGCATCCACTCTCCTTCTGTCCTCCCTAGTCATTGTCCAACTCTCTGATGCATAACAAGCGATTGCAAATACCATGACCTGTATCAGGCGCACCTTAGTCTCCAGAGAGACACTGTTGCTCCTGAGTACGTTTGAGAAGTCCCTAACGGCAGACTTTCCCATCGCGATACGCTTTTTGATTTCCTGACTGCTGGTACCAAGAGTGTTAACTGTGGAGCCGAGCAAAGTGAAGCTGTGAACACTCTCAATCTCTTCATCATCCATCTTGACGCTGCCAATTGGTCCAGTGGCGAGAATCTTTGTCTTCTTGACGTTGAGCCTTAGTCCATACTGAAGGCTGCAGTCCTTGACCCTTCGCAGCAAGTGCATGAGGTCCTCCTCAGTTTCAGCAAGCAAGGTTGTGTCATCTGCATAACGGAGATTGTTGATAGATCTTCCACCAATCCTGATGCCACAGTTCTCCTCATAGAGCCCAGCCTCTCGGATAATCTGCTCTGCATATATGTTGAAAAGGTATGGAGACAGGATGCATCCCTGACGTACACCCTTCCCTGTTTTGAACCATGCAGTGTTACCCTGCTCTGTACTATTGTACTATAGTAAGGAAAATAAGAACTTAACTTACCTGTCTCGACATAGCTACAAATGCAACTTAAGACACCCTTAGCAACAGTTCCTCAGCAGAACTGGTGGTGGTATCAGAAGGGGTGGTAATGCAGAAAGTGAAGAAGACTTGAGACACTTAATGCAGAAGGTCAACGACTCCAGCCTGTAATATGGGTTACACCTCAACATCAAGAAAACAAAAACCCTCACCGCTGGACCAGTAAGCGACATTCAAATGAATGGAGAGAAAATTGAAGTTGTCATCAATTTCTTTTTACTTGACTCCCTAGTCAACACTCTTGGTAGCAGCAGTCAAGAAAATAACAGATGTATTTCACTAGGAAAACTGCTTTCAAGGACCTATAGAAAGCTCTAAGGATCAATGATGTCAGTTTTCAAGACTAAGGTGCACCTGATCCAAGCCTTGGTATTTTCAGTTACTTTCTAAATATCTAAAGATTAGGCAGTGAATAAAGATAAAAGAAGAAAAATAGAGGCCTTTGAATGGCACCATTGGAGAAGAGTACTGATTTTATACCATGGACTGTCAACAGAACAAGCAAATTTTTTTGAGGGAAGTACAACCCGAGTGCTCCTTATGGGCAAATATGGTGAAACTTCATCTCACGTACTGTGGTCATATTTTCAGGATGAACCAAACCTTGGAGAAAGAAGGAAAGTAGAGGGTCCGAGAAAGAGAGGAATACCCTCAAAGAAATGGGCTGTCATGGTGGCTA